AAAGTCTAAATCATCTTTGACTTTGAAACATGATTAAATGTATCTTTTATATTAATAAAAACTGCAGTTGAGACCAGATCTTCATGCTTTGCTATTTAAATGTTATAAATCACTGAGAGAACAGTGTCAATTACAGAGTATTATTTTCTATCTCTCATTTATTCACTAAATAGAAGAGAATTACTAATAGAGCTTATAAAAGATAGTCTAGTAGCTATGATCTTTTCTAAAATCTTTCTCAGACAGTTTAATAGAGATATTACTCTATATAACTTAGAAATTGAAGCTTTTCTCTTAGGCTTTGTAAGGATCACTTCAGTGACTTCTCTCCAGCATTCACAATGATAATCATTTTTCAAGAGATTGAAAAAGAGCTCAAAATATTCATTCTTCAAGTAGAAATATTTATTTTGAATAATCAAGTGATTGATTGAATCAGGCCCTGCAGCAGTTTTAATTAAACTTGAGAAGATAGCTGACTCTAATTCATCTTATGTAAGTTCAGACTATTCTCAGTCATTTGATTAATATAGTTATAAAGTGATATATTCTCTTTCTGTGAATCTGAATCTGATAAGTTTTGAAAGAGAATTCATGTGAAAGCTTGACATTTTTTCTCAAAAGAATTTACTGTATATAATTCATTCTGAAACTCATATTCTAAGGCTGAAAGTTTTGCTACACTTCTTGTTTTAGTATAGTTAAAAGCTTTAAAAACTTCTTTTTCTTATACTTCTTCAAGAAGTTTGTTTCAGCAGTCTGTTTTAACTCTTTTAATATCTGAAAAATATTCATCTCTGATAGCTTTCAACTCTTTATCAGATATTATATCATTCTTTCAATCTCTTCTAGCAGAGACTAATTGTTTTCTTTTAGATATAATATTCTTATTTTATCAAGATTTGAAATACTCAGAAGACTTTTTCTTTAAAATATTATCTCTAATACTTATTATAATAATAGATATAATGAGCTTTACTCTATTCTTAAGTATTTCATTTAAGATATCTTGACTGAGATTTCAATAGAGCTCACTCTGCTTTTCAGATTTTAACAGTTTTATACTTTCTTTAACTACTTTTCAATCAGCTTTTTCAAAGTTGTACTGATCAGAGAGAAGACAATTTTCACTCATTTATTTTTCACTCAGTTCAATATCAAATTGAATAATCTCATAATCTGATTCTGATATCTCATTTCAATCAATAAATCAGTTTATAAGTCTTTTTTCAATTATATTTTATGATATGAAGATTAGATCTATAATAGATTTCTGTTTCATATCTTTTCTAAAGAATGTTTATTGATCAGACTTGTTAACTAAATCTATTGAAGACTTAAAAGTTCATTCAATTAGTTTATCTGCTCTTACTGCTCTTCTGCATTCTGAATTTTATCAGAGATGATATGCATTGAAGTCTTCTATAATTATAGAGTTTTTTAAGAGAGTTATATTCAAAAATTCTGTGTTAATTGTTCAGATATTGTTATTCTCTTTCAATGACTTTTCATTATAGATATTTATGAGCTGTATAGTATTAAACTCATTCTCTTTATCTATACTATCACTCACTAGAATATCAGAGTCAGACTTAATATCAAATCATAGATTAAATTAATATCTTGATCTCTTTCTTTCATAGATCACTACTCTTGACTTTATCTCATACTTTTGAGATAGAAAGCAGTAGTAGCTTGAATGTAAAATAATGTACTTTTGCTCAGTATTAAAATTCAGTTTCTGAAGAAGTATAAAATTAACTTTTTATTCAAATACAATTTGAAGATAAGAATAAATACAATTTGAGTTTCTATTTACATTGTTTTGAATAAATGTGATTTTTGAAGAGTCTTTAAAGTTTTTTTGTTATTTTTATTGTATATTCATACTGAAAGAGAGTAGAGATAGAGTAGAATCTAATCACTATTATCAGATAGTAGATTATAACTATTTTAAAAAGTGAGAATCTCAACTGCTTACATTCTATCTAGTTTATTATCAGAGTCATTTCTCAATTCTCTAATCTTAACAGATATTTGAGAATTCAAATTCTTTTTACATTTAGCTGAAGAATTGATGTTTGAAGATTTAAATAGTTGAAAGTTTCTTTTTTTTAAGCTTGCAGTTGCAGATTTACTGACTCAACTTTTCTCTTCAGTTTTAGATTTACTTAGAGCTTCATCTTTTCTTCAGTTCTTTTGAGTTCTTGAAATAAATATACATTCTTTTAAGCTAGATACATGTTTTTCTTTGCAATTAAAGTATTTAAACAGAGTATGTTAACATAGTTCATCTCTTTTTGAGTATGTTTCACATTTATACTCACTAGTTTTATAATCTCTAGTATAAAATGCATATTTTGAGTCTCTGAAATAAGAGATTACAAAGTGTTCATATCTTTGACAGTTTGAACACTGTGTTTGAGCTTTGAGATTCATTCTTGAGTCTTTGTATTCATGAACTCTCATTTTCAAATCTGCTACTCTTACTTCAGAGATTCTTGATTATTCAAGTATCTTTGTATATATTAGAACAGAGACATTTCTTCTACTTTGTCTGAACTCAATTGAATTTAGTTATACAGACTCTTTTCTTAGTTGAATAGAATTATATTCTTCTAATTCATTTTTAAGAAGTAGTATTTCTTTCTCACAGTCAAAAATTTCAACTGAAATCTTATGAAGAATAAATTTATCTCATTTTTCATCTCTCTTAGATAGAATTGTTATGTTTAATAAAGATTCTATTACTGATTTTCAGAGATTCTTATTCTAAATGAGAAATTCTGCTCTGAATTCAGACATTGTAGTCAGAATAATGAAATTTCTAAAGAAAGATAACTCAATTGAAGCTATAACTGATTTTTAAACTTCAATATCAGTCATTAACTAAGAAAAGAACTGCTGATTAATTTCATTTCTAATTCTGAAAATGCGATTTGAGTTTAGCTTGTTTCTCTGCAGAATCTTCTGATTTGAGACTTTGAGAATAAGTCTTCTATTTCTGAAGATTTAAAAATTTTTCTCTTTTTACATTTTTTTTCTTCTTTTCTATGAATAGAAGTATGAGCAGTATTCTTCTCAGTTTTCTCAGAATTTTGCGCAGGTTTTGAGACAGCAGATTTAGAGACAGCAGATTCTGCTACTTAAGCATATATTTTCTTCTGATTTGAAGAAGAAGAAGAAGAAGTAGAAGATAAAGAGTCAGTAATTATACTAGAAGTTTTCAATATTTTTTGAACTGTGTTTGAAATTTCAAGTTTGAACTTGATCATCTCTTGTAGTTGTCTAGTCTGAGTATGAAGAATTAA